GAAAACATGACCTATGAGGGAAGATTGAAAAAATTGGGTTTGTTTAGTCTGGAGAAGAGAAGACTGAGAGGGGACATGATAACAGTTTTCAAGTACATAAAAGATTGTTACAAGGAGAAGGGAGAAAAATTGTTCTTCTTAACCTCTGAGGATAAGACAAAAATCAATGGGCTTAAATTACAGCAAGAGTGGTTTAGGTTGGACATTAGGAAAAGCTTCCTAACTGTCAGAGTGGTTAAGCACTAGAATAAATTGCCTAGGGAGGTTGTGAAATCTCCATCATTGGGGATTTTTAAGAGCAGGTTGGACAAACACCTGTCAGGGATGGTCTAGATAATACTTAGTCCTGCCTTGAGTTCAGGGGACTGGACTAGATGATCTCTCGAGGTCCCTTCCAGTTCTATGATTCTATTCTATGATTCTATGTACAACACCAGCTGGTATCTCCTGATGTCCACCTGCACTGAGAGGTGTCTGTCTGTCCTCTGGTGCCAATGCCACCACTCAAAGCACCTGTCTGCCATTGTCTGTGCCCCGCTGTGGGTACTTTCCTGCTTCTCGGACTGGAGCTGTGCTTCTGCCACTCTGAAACAATGTGTCATCCAATGACAATGCTCTGCTGCGTCTTGAATCTCTGGGTTTGCACCCCACTCATGTTTCTGTCTGGTCTGACCCTATTCACCAAGGTCTAGTGTAGCTCCCAATGACATCACCCTGCAAAGCCCTCTCTAGTTATCCTGCTCACTGTCCTCTTCTTCCTCATCTTCTACCTTCCTATGAGGATCACACCATTGCTCATGATGCCATGCCAAACAAATGGGTTCTGATTTTCACATGGCTAATTTGATGGCCTGCCTAAATATCAGCATCAACCCCATCATCTACTTCCTAGTGAGCAGCCACAGGAGGTGGTGATGCAGGGAGTCCATCAAAGTTGTGCTCCAGAGGGTCTTTGTAGATGAGGTAGAGCCAACAGAGAAGGGGGATGCTGTGGACAAGGTTGTCTGTAACCCCATGGTGCTCAGCCTAGGAAATCCACCCAGAGAAAGGGAGGGGAGGGTCTTTGCAGTCACTCATGCAGGAAATGTGCTCATTGAAAGCTACTGCAATTTAGCAGAAGATAAGCATGTTTTTCAGCTCAAACAGGTTTTCACTGTCTAGTATTTACTGGAGTGGGAATCTGGAGACTTCACTTCCAACCCTGGTTCTGCAACTTACCTACTCTGTAGCCTTGGACAAGGCCCTGACCCTCTCTCTGCCTCTGTTTCCCCTCACACTCTTTTTCTATTTAGATTGTAAACTCTTCGGGAAAGAGACTTTTTGTTCTTTGTTTGTACAGTACCTAGCACATTGGGGTACTGGTCCATGACTGGGGCTCCTACGTAAACTCTTTGGGGCAGAAGCCAACAGTTGCTATGTGTTTGTACAGCACCTAGTACAGTGAAGACCTGATCTTGGCTGAGGCCTCTACATGCTACTTGTATAACATTATGAAACTTAATTTGTGATTGGGACTTGTGGCATGTCTCAGTGATTTCAAGGCACATGGTGGAGGATGTGACGGGTTGGATCACAGAAACCCCCTTGGGGCTGCCAACTGATGTGCCAAGACTACTTCTGCCCCTGCTTTCCTGCCCTGGCAGCTTAGGACTTCAGTGCCCTGCCTGGTTTGAGCCAGACCCCCTAGCCTGCTGCAAACCCAGACCCAGGGTATGAACCACGTCCCCTTACAGCTGTAGGCTTGACTGAAAGCAGCTTACAGAAGTGTTCTTATCTTTAACACTCAGATGTCCAACTCCCAATGGGGTCCAAACCCCAAATAAATCCATTTTACCTTGTATAAAGCTCATACAGGGTAAATTCATAAATTGTTCACCCTCTAAAACACTGATAGAGAGATATGCACAGCTGTTTGCTCCCCCCCCCCCCCAGGTATTAATACATATTCTGGGTTAATCAATAAGTAAAAAGTGATTTTATTAAATACAGAAAGTAGGATTTAAGTGGTTCCAAGTAGTAACAGACAGAACAAAGTGAATTACCAAGTAAAATAAAATAGAACACGCAAGTCTATGTCTAAGAAAACTGAATACAGATATAACCTCACCAGTTCCAATAAGCTTCCTTTTACAGACTGGTCTCCTGCTAGTCTGGGTCCAGCAAACACTCACATCCCCTGTAGTTACTGTCCTTTGTTCCAGTTTCTTTCAGGTATCCTTGGGGGTGGAGAGGCTATCTCTTTAGCCAGCTGAAGACAAAATGGAGGGGTCTCCCAGGGGTTTAATTAGACTTTCTCTTGTGGGTGCAGACCCCCCTCCTCTCGCCTATGCAAAGTCCAGCTCCAAGACGAGTTTTGGAGTCACATGGGCAAGTCACATATCCATGCATGACTCAGTTTTTACTAGCCAAGCCACATTCCTGGGAAGGTTTAGATGTGGATTGGCATCTTCAAGTTCATTGTTGGCTTAAGTGGTTTTTGATTGGGCATTTAATTTGCACTTTTCTCAAGGAGCTGACCAAATGCTCTACTAGGGTAGTTAAAATCTAGCCAGTACACAGCCAATATTCATAACTTCGAATACAAAAATGATACATGCATACAAATAGGATGAATACATGCAGTAGATCATAACCTTTACATAGATATGTTACATAGCATATGTAGCCTAAAACATATTCCAGTTATGTCACTGTCACAGGGTCAGCGCAGGCTCTCCCACTTTTGTGCCTGCACCCTGTGTTTAGACTGGTATAATAAAGACTGTTCACTCATTCTTTTGTTGTATCACACCAGTGTCTTTATTTACAGTGCTTGTGCAGTTACCAGATCCCCCAACAGTTCGTGCCCCAAAGATCCTCTCCAGGGTCTCCTGGCCCTTGAGGCTTCCTTGTTGGCAAGGAGACAGAGATACTGCCCTCCTGTCTCCTCCCAGGCTAGCCTCCTCACTGAGGTTTGCCCAGGGCTTTTATAGCCCTCTCCTGCCCCAGCCCAGCTGTCACTACTTAGCCCAGCATGTTCGTCTGAGCCAGCCCTTGTTAGGGCTTGCAGCTGGGCTCCCTGCTGAGTACCTGCATCTCTACACCTGGCCTACTGGCCAGTGAGCAGGCTGTAGCCAGCATTTTGGCAGGGCTTTAGAGGGGGTTTTACCCCTGCCCTGCCACAGTCACATATACAATCATAAGCATATTCCACAAAGCCGTATGGGGGGCACCGTCACAGAGGACATACTGTATTACCATATGTGTGGGCATCCATCTTTTTAAGCATCTTCTTGCATAGCTCTAACTCATCTTTGATCGGCTAGTATTGACTGCACTGTGAAATCTGAAGATAGAGGACAGGGAGAAGGCCCAGTACCTGCTAGGACTTTCCTTAGACATCTTCCATAAGAGTTAGATTGTGTCTTTAAGCCCAGCCTTTAGTGAGGATTGGTGTGTAAGCTACATCACCCCTGTAAGTTGTCCCAGGCAGTCATGTGCCTTAGAGATACTCCTGAGACACAATCCCTCCCTTGCTTACCCCTTCTTCTGTAGAGGTAGCAATTTGCCTATATCAGCCAGAAAATTCTGGCACACAACCTGCCTCTCACATTGGCACAGCTGTCTCACCTCCTCCAGCGGACAGTAGTGGATGTACAGCACCTACTCACACCTGTGCATCTGGAGCCAATGTCCAGTCTTCCCAGAAGGGGCATAAATTGGGGAGTCCTCATTTCCCTGCATGGTATGTAGCCCATGTCACAATCTATCCCTAAATCAGCTGGAGAGGAAGTTTTGAGGATTGGGATAGGAAGGGAGAGATATTCTTAGTATGGATGGGTCCTGCGGGTGAGGAACTATTTATAGTGTCCTGATATATTCTCATCTGCATATCTACAATCAATGGACACTTGAATGTGATGTCCAGTCTTGGACCCAGGAACAATCATTGACCTCCTTAAAGCCAATAGATTTGCAAAGCACCTTCCCTCTTGCTCAACAGAAGGAGCAATCAAGCCCCTTTATGTAATAAAGACAGTAAAGGCACTAGGCTGCATGGTAGGTCAGAGCCAAGTTGTGTGGACTGAGGGTTTTCCCTGTGGGCAAATGCAGGAGAGGAAGTCTTTTGCTGTCAAACTTATGAGATACACAGGAGAAGAACTCTACTACTGCAGCCCAGAAGGTCTGTGGGATGCGAGGCAAGTAATCCTGCAGAATATCTTCAACCTATCTGTCAGTATGCAGGTAAATTAGCTGTGTTCTACACATTGGGTAGGCATGTCTCCCTCTAGTGACAGGGCAACAAAGAGGAAAGCAGCTTGCTACTTCCAGCTGCATGAATTATTCCTCTAACTCAAGTGCTTTTGCTGATGGTCCTGGGTTCTATCTCTGCAGATGTCTCTAAGTGGAATCATTACATGTATAGTTCTGAAACTTGTAAACAACATGATGTGTGATATTACATTGCATTTGACATTGAGAGCATTTCCACTTAGAAATGTGTGAATAATGGATTCTTCAGTTCACTGGCAATTCCGAAAAATTGAGGAAAAAATAATATCACACTAAAAATAAGAGCTTCTGAAATTTTGAATGAATCAAAAAGATGGTTGAAATGATTTGGTGAAACCAACACAAAATACTGAAAAGAAAAGTTTTGGCAGAAAAATTTTGCCCAGTTCTATTCCCACTATCCCTTCCAACATGGGAGATCAGTGTTCCATGATTGAGGATATAAAAAAACTACTGATCCAGCAATGTAAGTATGGCTGAATGTCCCTTGTGCATGAGAAGAGGATGTCTCTCATGACTGTGACCAATGCTTTCTCTGTGTAATGTCCCCAACCAGCAGGGTTCCCTGATGTCAACAGTGAGTGGGTGGAGTTGGAGGTGGTTCTTTGCTAGGTTCTCAATTGATTGACTCAGCAATTGGATGTGAGACACTGGCTGTTAGCTTGCAAGATCAGAAACTCTCAGACCAGTTATGAAATTTCCTTGGAATATTTTGTGGCCTTGATTTTTCAAGTGGTTCTCCGTTTCTTTAGGAAACCTGCTCAGTCAGTGTTCTTTGCCCATAAAAAGGAGATAGGAAGCAATTAAAGTAGCAGAGCCCTGCTACCAACTTTATGAGACCTTTCCGTAACAAAGAGAAGAAATCGTGGTGGAAAGATTGCTGTGTTTGGCTCTACATAGTGTGAACATGGCATTTGGTGGCCAGGATTTAGGGCTGGATTGACTTGTTGGACATGGAACAGGAAATTACAGGGTACTTCTGAGTCTCTTAATAACAATTACACTGTTGCAAAATGTTCAAGTAATTGATTCCGCACGGAGCAACTGATAAGAAGCCAGAGGTAAGGAATTTCTCTAACAGATTTGCTTTACCACAGCTTCTGCAAAACTGTCATTCAAACCTTAGAACATCAGAGGGAAGGTGAGCATTTTGTGGGTGAAAATTATCCTCTTTTCTGCCCTCTGATGTTTTCTATATTTTCTTCCATTCCCACAGCTCTGCCCATGCCTGTCAATCCTACCCCCCCAGCCCTCTGCTATTCCAGATCTGGGTTTTGCCCCTGCCCTGCCAATGTGCTTTAATCCTGACTCACAAAACCGCTCCTACTATTGCCACCTTGGGCTCTCTGCCCCTTCCTCTCCCAATGTCTCTCAATCCTGAACTGCAGCCCTACTTCTATTCCAATCCTGATCTCCCCACAATATACACACACAGCTCTGCCACCTCACTCCTGATCTACTTGGGACTGCAGTCTCTGACATTCATTTTATCTTTTGCCCTGACGTTTCCAAAGAAGAAAGACCAGCCTTGTCACCCTCTGCACCAAAAATCCTCTAAAGTCTCCCCTTTGTATTTATCTGTGTGTGTATTTCTAATAAATGCTCATTGGTATCTGGATATTTCAGTTCAGAGGCACAGGGAGGGGCACTAATTACTAGCAAATCCAAGTTCCCACCATGATCCGGAGTCGCTAATACACATTCCTCTTATCTCTATTAGCAGGTGTGTTTACGAGAGAGAGATAAAGAGGGAGCTGGAAATTGTCATTCTGCAGCAGAGGTTTCAATATGACTGAGCTTATCACGACATCCCCGCTTCCTGGAAAGATAAGCCTGCGTTATTGCGTATTATTTAATGATTCCAGTAGCTTTAATGACACAGACCTAGATGCAGATCAGGATCGATGTTTCATTCCGATAGTTGTGATCAGCTCTATTTCTCTGTTCATTTGCCTGGTCGGGCTGGTGGGGAACGGGATGGTTCTTTGGTTCCTCGGCTTCCGCATTAAGAAGGACCCCTTCACCATCTACATCCTCAACTTGGCCATTGCTGACTTTGGTTTCCTCCTGTGCATGGTTGCCTTCTTAATTATTATCATCTTATATTTACATATGGACTTTCTTGGAGGGTTTGTCATCATAAAGGCAATCCAGTGGGTGGCGCTGTTTATATACAACACTGGCCTGTATCTCCTGACAGCCATCAGCGTTCAGAGATGTCTGTCCGTCCTTTACCCCATCTGGTACCGATGTCACCGTCCAAAAAACCTGTCTTCCATTGTGTGTGCTCTGCTCTGGGCTCTCTCCATCCTGGTGACTGGACTGGAGTGCTATTTCTGCATCAATGACTACGACTGTTCCAAAATGACCATATTCAGCTGTGTCTTGAGTTTCCTGATTTTCACTCCACTCATGGTTCTGTCCAGCCTGACCCTGTTCATCAAGGTGCGGTGTAGCTCACAGCGACACCAATCAACAAAGCTCTATATTGTCATTATGGTCACCATCCTTTTCTTTCTCATGTTCGCCCTTCCACTGAGGGTCATAGTGCTGATGGCCTTCCTTAGTCACACCATGATACACCTCTTTGTTATGTCTTTAGTTATCCTGCTGCCCTGCATGAACAGCAGCATCAACCCCTTCATCTACTTCTTAGTTGGGAGACACGGGAAACGGCAATTGAGAGAGCCCCTCAAGGAGGTTTTCCTGAGAATCTTCAATGAGGAGGCTGGTCCACAAGAGAAAAGGCCCACCAAACAAATAAAATAGCCAGCCACTGAGAATCTTACAGAGCATGTGCAAGGCGTGGTAGATCTTCAAAGTTAATGATGCTACCCTTGCAAGGACATTTCCGTTTAACGCTACAGCACTTTAATAAATGAGAAATAGAGCGAGTCAAAAAAATGTCCAGCAAAATATTTTTTCATTGGAAAACAGGGTTTTGTTGGCAATCAAAATTTTTCATGCAAAAATTTCAGCACCAACAAAATGTTTTGATTTGAAATTGTGGGTTCTTCCCCAACATCCAACAGTTTATGTAACTGTTTTCCAATGGGCAATGGAAGTGAGGAAACTTTTTCATTGTTTTACTGTTTGTTTACCTTTCCCTGGTTAAATTATAAAGGTAATTAAAAGTAAATTCGCCCTCTAACATTTTTTCACACTTCTGCATTGTGCTCCCAGCTGGTTCAGAATTTATCAGTGATAAAAGAGAGCAGCTTCAGATGCCACTGAGTTTAATATTTCCAATTTAATATTTCCAATTCATTGGTCCAGGCTGCTGAGAAAAGATACTTGCATGTGCATTATTGTGATTAAAAAGCACAATGGACAAGGGAGATGGGAGGTACAACAAAGCATACTAGGCCTCACAGGCAACTGTTGCAAGAAGCAGGTGGTTGTACATCAGGCAGTAATTTCATGACATCTGGAGGTTGGATGAGAATCAACAAAAATGATTGAGCCTGGTTTCACTGATAATTTTTAACAACAATACATCATTGGCTACAAACACACTCCTATGATTGGTTCTCTAAGACTACACACTCTGTGCACTTGCAATGTGCTATACACATTTTAACTTTCAGGACAGCTCTGTAGGAAATGATGATTTTCTCCACTTTCCAAACAGGGAACAGGAGGCCGAAAAAAGAGGGGTGACTAAGGGCTTGTCTAGAAAGAAAGAAAGAAAGAAAGAATCCTATTATAATTTCCACTTTTAGTATTTAGAGGGCTCTTATACAAAATCCAGCTATAGTCTCTTACAAGGATATGAATTCATGGTCTGTGCAAATACTTTGTAAGGTAGTGGAATTTTGTAGCCCAGAATTGGTAAGTAAATTGACTAACTTCCCTCAATATAGATTGTAGGGTTTGCAAGGGGCCAATCTCTACCTCATGTCACTTAGGGCCAACACATCTTTTTTCCATCTTAAAGGGAGGATTGTTTCATAATAAGCCTTAAAAATAGTCTTGTTCGGCCACATTATTCAGCACTGTCCAGCAGCAGTGTTTAGCACCCCTATGCCCTGTTACCTCTTCAAAGTTAAGTCATGAGTAGAGCTGGCTGGAAATGGATGTTGTAGACATTTTTTTACTATTATTTTGTTGATTTTTCATCAACCTGAGTCAAAACACTTTGGTTGGCTAAACTCAACAAAAAAAATGTTTCAAGTCAATTTGACACTAAATTGCATCTACCTAGGGTGCCATGGAGCCTCATAGGAGTTGTAGTTTGCGTGCTTCACTACCCCATTCTCTCCGATGGGCCTGGCTCCTTGCTTGGACTACACATCCCATGATGCACCATGGTATCTCCACTGAGGGGGTGGAAATTCTGATTCTGACTCAGCTCCACTCTTGAAATAATTAATGAATCTTTATAATCTTTATAAAGAATCTTTAATGAATGCTTTATATGAAGCAGCAAAATACAGCCAGTGATTCAAATTTAGGACTTCCATTTCTGTACTTATTCCTTTAGGCCATATGTGTGCCTCATATATTAGGTACATGAAGTCTCCTTGAAGTATGTTAGTAGATATGCTTGCATTCATCTTAATGTTCAGGTTCAGGGTGAAAAAGTGAATCCAATTCTCTTTAATTTAGGTCTATTCAATTTCTGATTACCATGGGTTTTCACATCAGACAATACCCAAAGTTACATGAAGTAAACAGAGAAAATAATAAACTCAGCCCAAGGATTTTTCTTTATTATCTCACCAACATTTTTGCTGCACTGACACCTGTCAAGAAACTGTTACTCGGCCTAATAACCTTTTCAGGGCGTCCTTCACCTCCTTGTTCCTCAGGCTGTAGATAAGAGGATTCAGCATGGGGATCACAACAGTGTAGAACACTGAGACCACTTTGTCCCGGTCCAGCGAGTAACTGGAAATTGGCCTGACATACATAAAGACTGTGGTGCCATAGAATATCATGACAGCTGTCAGGTGGGAGGCACAGGTGGAGAAGGCTTTGCGTCTGCCCCCAGTGGAGCGAATCCTCAGGATGGTGGAGATGATATAGATATAGGAGACCAGAATCTCCAATGAGGTGACGATGCCGTGAAATGTACCAAAAGTGTAAAGCACTATCTCATTGCTGTAGGTATCAGAGCAGGAGAGCTGTATCAGTGGGGGGATGTCACAGAAGTAATGATTGATGACATTAGAGCTGCAGAAGGACAGTCTAAAGGTGGAGATAGTTTGTGCCAGTGCATGGACAAAGCCAATGAGATACGAGCCAGCCACCAGCTGGGCACAGACTCTGCGGGACATGCTGACGGTATAGAGTAGTGGGTTACAGATGGCCACGTAACGGTCATAGGCCATCACGGCCAACAGGAGGCATTCAACGCTCGCTGTGAGCACAAAACAGAACAGCTGTGCAATGCACCCACCAAATGAAATGGCTCTCCTCTCAGTTAGGAAATCCACCAGCATCTTGGGGGTGATGGTTGAGGAGTAGCAGAAATCCACAAAATCCAAATTACTGAGGAAATAGTACATCGGGGTGTGGAGCCGGGGGTCGAACCTGATCAACATGATCATCCCGAGGTTTCCCACCAGGGTGATCAGGTACATCACTAAGAAGAGCAGAAAGCAGATGGCCTTCATCTCTGGACTTTCTGTTAGTCCTGAGAGAACAAACTCAGTCACCAGGGTGTGATTTTCCCCAGCCATTTTGTCCGCACAGGCGTTATCTGCTGATTGACTCTTCCTGATTGACCAAAGAGAGAACTGATGAGCCCCAATTTATCTTCTAGATAACCAAGGTACTTATATGGTCCTCATTACCATAGCATCTAACCACCTAAACATATTTAATGAATTTGTCCTCACAACAACCCTATGAGGTAGGGCAGATGGGAAACTGAGGCACGGAGTAGCTAAATGACGTGTCCAAGGTCACACATACAGACTGTGGCAGGGATGGGACTTGCTCCCTGGTCTCTTAAGGCTCAAGATAGTCCACTGCACCATCCTCACTCTCACTGTGCCCAACACAGCAATTCAGCCTTGCTGGGAAAGATGCACTAAGCATCATCCCTACAGCTCACTGCACATCCCTGCCTCTCCACCCCAATGCAGCTGCAGTTGGATGTGTCCAGCTGTGAGCAATGTGATCCAAATGTTCATGAAGGGCAAGGGCCATCTTCCTGAAACAGATAATCTCAGCATTAACTCAAGGACCTTTGAGGGTTTTCACCTTCCTCTGCAGCATGAGGCATGGATCATGTGCTGGGATCACCTGGGCCTGGCTCATCCAATCAATTCCCTGCCATTTCAGGAGCCTTGGGCATTGATGGCACCTTGGTCTCTCCTGTTCTCTGTCTGTGGTACCACATTAGTCCCCTGAGGACTGAAATGCTTTAGTCTAACTGAAGTCTTTGGGCTTTATATAGTAATATCTGGGTAAAATTTAAGGGCCTGCAATGTACTGAAGGCCAGACTGTATATGGTCCCTTCTGGCTTTAAAGTCAATGAAACTATGAATCTCAGGCATCACTTTTAGCCATTCAGAACTCCAACAGGAAAAAGTGAGTGGCTTCTTTGCTATAATAACATGATGGCAGGAGGTTAATAGTTTGGCCAAACCAGCAGTAGAACTCAACCCCCAGCAGAGGGTGAGGTATGAAAACTCCTTTTTATTGGCCTGATCCAAAGGCCGTTGAAGTCAAGGGGTGACTTTCTATTGATTTCACTGCACATTGGATTGGCACAATGGTCATTTTCTGCTGAGAAATTAAATAGATCATGATTTACTACATGAAACACCCTTGGGTGGTAGGTAGCAAAAGCCTCCATGATTCTGACGGGGGGAGAATCACAAGTGAAGTGGGAATTATTGAAATTAATGACATCTGCCCTTTCTGGGATATTAGAAGCCAAAAAAGGCAAATAGCTGCTAGGACCTTGTGTCCACAACCCTTTCTGCTTCCTCCAGCAGGGCAAATTTGATACAGACAAAAGTATTCAATGGAACATAGAATTAACCATGGAACTCATTGCCACACAAGGGAAATAATGTAGTAATTTATGATTAGCAAATATAGTTACATTAATTACAAGGTTTACCAATCCCAGTTTTTCAAGGCATAATGTGAGCACCCTCTAGTGTCCAGATGAAATTCCCCACCACAGGGCTAAATTTTGCAGCCTGGATGCTGATGAGCACTTGAACTTACATAAGCAGCCCCACTAAGTCAATGAGGCAGGACTCGTATGATCAGGTGTACAAACTAGACTATAATACATACCATTTCACATTTAAAACTATTATGGAGCTGTTACATGTTTTTCAGTTGCATTTTCTACTATTGGAGAAGAAAATCTATACCTTTGTCACATCTCTCTTTCAAGATATTTGATATATATCAAGCTACTCTTTCTCTCTCCAGCTTTCCTAGAATCTTAGAAATTGGACCTACAGCATTAAGACACTTCAGGTCACATTTTCAAAGGTATTAGGTGCTGGAAGATTCAGATAGGCACCAAGTAGGATTTTCAAAAATGCCTATGCGGCTAAGATACCTAACTTCCAAAGATTTCAAAGGGAGTTAGATGCCTAAAAGCTTTTGAAAATTCCATTAGACACCTAACTGAATCTTCAGTCGGCACTGCATCATCATTCAGCACTGGTGAAGCCACATCTGGAGTATTACGTCCAGTTTGGGGCCCCCCACTACAGAAAGGATGTGGAAAAATTGAAGAGAGTCCAATGGAGAGCAACGAAAATGGCCAGGGGGCTGGGGCACATGACTTATGAGCAGGGCCGGCTCCAGCATTTTTGCTGCCCCAAGCAATTCTTCGATGGCAATTTGGCAGCAGGTCCTTCCCTCCGAGAGGAACTGAGGGACCCGCCACCGAATTGCCGCTGAAGAGCCGGACGTGCTGCCCCTTACCGTTGGCCGCCCCAAGCACCTGCTTGCTGCGCTGGTGCCTGGAGCCAGCTCTGCTTAAGAGGAGAGGCTGACGGAACTGGGCTTGCTTAGTCTGCAGAAGAGAAGAGTGAGGGGGGATTTGATAGCAGCCTTCAACTACCTGAAGGGGGGTTCCAAAGAGGATGGAGCTCTGCTGTTCTCAGTGGTGGCGGATGACAGAACAAGGAGAAATGGTCTCAAGTTGTAGTGGGGGAGGTCTAGGTTGGATATTAGGAAACACTATTTCACTAGGACGGTGGTGAAGCACTGGAATGAGTTACCTAGGAAGGTGGTGGAATCTCCTTCCTTGGAGGTTTTTAAGGCCCGGCTACACAAAGCCCTGGCTGGGATGATTTAGTTGGTGTTGGTCCTGCTTTGAGCAGGGGGTTGGACTAGATGACCTCCTGAGGTCTCTTCCAAACCTAATCTTCTATGATTCTATGATTCAGTCACTTACATATCTTCAAAAAGGGGAAAAAGAACTATAGACCAGTCAGCCTCACCTCGATAGCTGGGAAGCTACTAGAGCAATATATAAAACAGTCAATTTGCAAATACCTGGAGGATGAAGGGGTAACCACTAGCACCCCACATGGATTTACTAAAAACAAATAATGCCAAACCAGCTTGATTTCCTTCTTTGCCAGGGTAACTGGTTTGGTGGATGGGGGGAATTTGGTGAACATAATAGATCTGGATTTTAGAAAGGGCTTTTGACATAGTCCCACATGACATTCTGATAAGTAAGCTGGAGAAATGCGGGCTCAGTAAAACTACCTTTCAGTGGATACATAATTGGTTAAACAACCGCAGGAATAGCTATTAATGGAATGATGTTGGACTGGAAGGAGATCTCCAGTGGGGTTCAGCAAGGATCTGTTCTTTGTCCGGTGTTATTTAACATCTTTATTAATGGCACAAATGTAGGAATAGAGCATATTGAACAAATCTGCAGATGACACAAAGCTGGGGTGGTGGTATTTGCAAACACTTTGGAGGATAGAGCTAAAATATAAAGGGATTCAAAGGGATAAATTGGAGAACTGGGCTATAGAAAACAAAATGAAATTCAACAAAAACAAATGTAAGGTGCTACACTTAGGGAAGAAAAAACAAATGCACAAGTATAGAATGGGGGAAAACTGGCTTGGCAGCAGCACAGCTGAGAAGGATCTGGGAGTTGTGGTGAATCACAACCTCAACATGAGTCAGCAATGTGATGCTGTTGCAAAAAAAAGGAAATGGAATTTTGGGTTGCATTAGCAGAAGTATAGCATGCAAGTCACGGAAAGTGATAGTACTGCTCTACTCAGCACTGGTTAGACCTCAGCTGGAGTACTGTGTCCAATTTTGGTCACCAGTGTATAGAAAGGATGTAGAAAACTGGAAAGGTTCCAGAGGCGAGCAACGAAGTTGATCAAAGGGATGGAATACAAGCCATTTGAGGAAAGGCGGAAGGGACTGGGTATGTTTAGTTTGGAAAAGAGGAGATTAAGTGGGGACATAATAGGGCCTTCAAATACTTGAAATGCTGCCATAAAAAATATGGAGAAAAGTTATTCTCTCTTGCTTCAGAGGCAATGGGTTCAAACTACAGCAGAGCAAATTTAGATTAAATCTCAGGAAAAACTTCCTAACTGTAAGAACAGGAGGACAAAGGAACAGACTGCCTAGGGAAGGTTGTGGAAGCTCCTTCACTGGAGGTTTTCAAAAGGAGGCTGGATAGCCATCTGTCTTGGATGGTTTTGACACAACAAATGTTGCATCTTGTTAGGGGATTAGACCAGATGACCCATGCGGTCCCTTCTAACCCTATGGCTCTTTAATTCTATGAAAATCTGACCCTTTGTCCATCTTCAAGCAAAAAAGCATTTCCGATTTCACTAGTTGTCAGTTAACCTGGTTGATTAAACAAACTGTCTTTAATGAACTTACCATCAACCGCTTGCCATCTAGTCAGCAGGCTGGAAGGTACTTGCCTTTTCTAAAATGTCCAACTAAATTAATGAGACTCCTCTGCCAAGAATCCAGACTCTTTATCCGTTGTTGCTACTGGGCAGAGAATCACACCTAGCTGCAAAGGTTGCAATAATTTAACATGGTTCTGTTATAAGCTAAAATGCAAGACAGCATCACCATATCCCCTGGTTGTCAATAATTCTTGCTTAGATGATGCAAGACACTTATGTAGATACAGAAACTTTGGGACCTCAAACTCCCCCTAGATTCTTCCCTGCCGAAATGTCCTACAGAACAAAGCAATTAGTTTTGGAGTAGCCATTTCATTGCAATCCCTTTGTATTGATCTCAGGTCCAACATCCACCAGCTTTTCTCATCTCCGATTCTTCACTGCAGAGGTTCTTAAACATGTTCATCGTGGGGAGCCAATCTTAATTAATTGTCTCATGGGCACTTCCCCTCCTATCCAATAACATTCCTGCAGTGGCTACAGCAATTGCCTGTGTGGAAAAACAACATTAGTAAAGTATCTTAAGTATTTTTAACTGAGTTTTAATGCAATGTAGCAGCTGGAAACAAGGGAGACCTGCACCATGTCAGCAGTCTGGGCCCTGCAGATCACTCATTGTTAAGGCTAAGATTTTGTCATGGTTATTTTTAGTAAAGGTCACAGAGAGGTCACAGGCAATAAACAAAAATTCACAGAAGCCGTAACCTGTCTGTGACTTTTGCTGCTGAAGCTCCATGGTTTCCCCTGCTGGGAGCTGTGGGGCTGGTTCCTCCTCTGCCTGCGGCAGCTG